AGCGATTTCAATGAGATTTTCAAGCAATCTTCGTATTAGCCCAGCAAGTGATCTTGCGAAGCTTGGTAGGGATCGGAAGTCTGAACGCGGGCGAAGCCGTGGGTATTGCTAGTATCTATATATATAAAAATCAATTGCTCTTCTTTAGTCTCGCTAAAACTCAAAAACGGCTGAACAAATTTAAATAAGAATTATTTAAATTTGTTCAGCCGTTTTTGTTTTGTTGAAGGTATATACCAGGGATGGTTTAAATATAAAAAAATATAAGAAAAACCTATAAGAACAGCTGGAAAATCGAAAAGTTCTGACCTGGTTATTTTGTATGGGAATCACTACTTCGGATTACTTTCAATAGTGGTGGACCTACCATCTACAACAATACGTCAAGTTTAAGTTAGAAAAAAATAGTATATGTACATATATAATATTATATAGTCTATCTATTCTATACTAATCGTTAAGACCTACCTAGGGACGAACCTGAGCCAAGGGAGGGTAAGTCGCTAGCGGCTTATATTATAATAATATTATAATTATAAATATTATAATTATATTTACCTCCGATGCTAATTATGATGAGATAATCAATAAAATAGATTTTATATTATACCTAAAGTAACTACTGTATCTGAAATCTAACGTATACTTATGTTAATATATATTTATGTACCTACATAATTCATAATTTTAGAAGCCGTATGATGCTATCTTCATACCTCGCAATGTGCTAATTATATCAACACCATTAACTTTGAACAGCAAATTATACCAATTTGAAGTGGAATTTTCCATGATTTTAAAAGAAAAATATAAATGTTTGGTACAAAATATATTATATAGTTTACGTAAAGTAAACAATTTTTTCAATACTACTTACTTTTTTCAAAATGTATGTATTAAAAACTCGTGACTGTGCTAAGGTTAATTTAAGACCAAGAAAAATAGGAAAGAAAGTACTTAGATTAATACGTGGAATGGATTTCAACCTTTGGGAACCGTCATACAATCTTGTATATGTTATACATATAGTATATCCATACTAATATATAAATGCGAAAGTAACTCTGCCTGTCTGTCTGTCTGTTACCTTTTCACGTTTAATTCGCTGAACCGATTTAGACGAAATTTGGTATGGAGATAGTTTGAGATCCTGGAAAGGACATAATAGTCTTTACCCCGGAAATCATCCTTTAAGGGGGAAAAGGGGGGTGGAACTTTGTATGGAGAATCAATCATTTCTCAAGGAAGGGAGTGTAAAGGCCAGAGGGCATTGGCAAATTTTTATTCCTGTAGAGTCGCTGTTGAGGCAATTAGTATAAAATAAATAAAATCAGATATTGTAACAAAGATTCTAAAGAGTTTTAGTTTTAGTTTTAAAACACTTTACACATGATTTAATAACAAAACAATCTCTTATTCTCTCTAACATTACATCATTTATGATGCGTTAATAAAATGTACTACTTTAAAAATAAACTACTATCTAACTATATCCGTAGTTTTTACAAGAACACTTTTTACAATAAACATGATTATTATGTTACGCAAGTTAACTCTAAAATAAATTGATCAACGTCCATTACATACCCACAGATACTTCCATTTCCATTATTTATTACAAAAGTCTTTTTTTCGATGGTAATATTGAACGATGAAAGGTACTGCAGACGGCACCGAGCGCAAGCAAAAGATAAATATTTTTGTTATTATGTAACAGCAATAATACAAAATTAGTTGGCTGGATGAGGTAGTGAATGGCGGCGGCCATAGCTAAGTGCACGTTTCCATTGTATTTCGGTATATAAAGTTAATTTTGTATTCGATTATTATAGACTCAGTTATATCCAAAATATATAATATCCTAACAAAGTGGTCAACACTTCGATATGAAGGATGGAAATTGTTTATTCTTGATATTAATTATCTTCATTCAGAACTTCCAGGCACTAAAATGTAAAAAATAACTAAACGGAGGTTTTCATTTAGAATAGATACCTAATCAGAGATCTTCGAAGTCGGTGCCAGCCGATGCAAAGCAAATCTAATATATTTCGATACGTAAAATACATATTTACCTATTAGATATTAATATCTTAAAATATTGTAGGCTGGCACCGACTCGTCATGCTCGACCACCTGGGAAGTGTACTCTTTGAAACAAAAAAAAATTCCAAATTGGTTCAGGCATCTTCGAGTAATCGGTGAACATACATAAAAAAAAGATTCCGACGAATTCAGAACCTCCTCCTTTTTGGAATTGGAAGTCGGTTAAAAACCAACTATTTTTTTGCAACAACGGAAATTTGGTCTAGGATTTTCTTCTTTACCAAAATTATAGTTATATTAAAATAGGCTTATAGTAAAGTTATAGAAATAAACTAAATGTAGGTACTTAATAATAACGAAACGTCAAAAATTCTAAGATAAATAAATCTCAAATTCACATTTGATTTCTTTTAGTTACTAGAACAATGAGATTCAATTTTTATACCTGTTAATATACACGATAAATAAATGACACGTATAACGTTTTTATGATCACGCGATACGCCGTGGTACAATGAGCACACACTATCGCGGTGTGCGTTGACCGGTGGCGGATGCGATGACGACCGGCTGACGCTGCCGTGCCCATCCACTGTTACGATCGACCCAAATACTGTAAAAGCTTGGCTTCATTTTGACGTATAATCTGTATTATCTCAGGATTCATAAAAACAATGGTGCTAGCAAAACTCTATACATGCACAATTGAAATTTTCATTACATGGTGTATTAGTATCTACAAACAATATAACTTCAAGCTATTGTACGTTAATGACATGGTACATAAATTATCAAGGAAAAAGAAAAAGACTCGTAAATTATTATTATGTTAACTAGCATTGTCCGCAGCTCCGCCCGCGTTCAGGTGACTAAAAACAAAATTCTGAGGTTTTACATATTAGTATACTCTTACAGTGCAGTTTTCGTATTTTTTCTCAGAAATGAGATATTTTCCTGCGGTAAAAAGTATCCTATATGTTGACCCGGATAACCTGCTATCATCATACCAAATTTCATCAAAATCTGTCCAGTGGTTTTCTCGTGATGCGGTAACAGGCAGACAGACAGACAGACAAAAATTCTAAAAACTATATATATTCGGACTCTGTATCGATAATAATGTCTATTTCAATTAGATTTTCCAAAAAATATTTAATGTACAGAGTCGACTTAGTTACATTTTTATTTTATGTATAGATATTACGAGATAGCCATTAGTAACTTAGAAGTAACTTAGAAGTTTTTAAGTCAAATCATAATAAGAATGATAGATTTACCAGGCTGCGGTGAAACCCAAAGGAGAGTTATTTTAGTAAATGAAAACGTGGTTTTAATTTCCCATAGGTATATCAAAGTTAAAGCTATAAATCTTGCATATATTTAGCTTAGCACATTGCAAAATAATTCCAAAACAAAGAAAGTTTTATTAGATCTAAAATATGTATCATTAGAGCTAAAGACTATCATTATTGAGACATTAAATATGAACTAACCTAAAAACTAAAAAGGAAATTAAAATAGAAATAAAAGTATATTTGGCATCGCAGATTGCTCACGCAAGCTGGCTATCATAAAAGTTACTTTACATAAGACTGTGATATGAAATATGAAATGTTACGTATGCAATATGAGTGCTTTTGTGTAATCACAAAACCTGAAAATATCTTGGTAAAGTCATTTTTATAAATTAAGCAATCAATACAATAACAAAATGGGAATGCATTCTGCATATTACGTATGGTACCTGATATCTCCTAGTGAACTAGTCCTAGCGATGTTATTTGATTCAATAAATAATTAGAATTTTAACATAATATTGTATAATAGATAAATAAAACATATAGGGGTTTAAATATATGGTATTTAATGGTGCGTGTTAACAGGCTTCTCCTGGTAGTCCTTATCTGTGCCTTCGAGCTTAGATGAAGATCAAGAGTGAGCCCATTTGTAATAAAAAAATATATTATTTAAAATTTTATTAAGAGCTGTAAGATCACTGCTATCATTCTTATACTATTTTAAAAAAAATAGGTAATATAATACATATTTATACATTTACTTAGACACAATATCATTATATTTTACTAAACAGATTACAATAATTAACTAAATAGCTCTTTTTATCTTTTGCGTGTGTTATAATAACAAGCCTTCGTTATTTCTTTCTACGTAGCACCGGCAATGGCAGTGTACAGCCATTTCTAATGAAGCATTTATGTACACAACTGTCTACCGTGTTTACATCTATGACCGTATCGTACGTGCCTTCAGCTAAATCAAGAGAGCGAGATTAAACAAGAACGCATTGTACGTGATTGAATGTATATATTGAAGCGTTTTACAGTAGGTATGCGTAGGTATACTTTTCTTACTTTGTTATGTTGATGTACCTACTAGAGCTTAGATGACCTTCGTGAGGATGTAAAGGGAGAAAGGAGTTCAAAAAATTTTCCAAAAAACTTTTTTGAATCGAATTTTGCGACGCTGTGAAACATCTGAAATGTTTTATTTAACATAGGAAAGCTTTTGATTGCAATTCTATGCGATTATTATCTAGGCATTATTATGTGGGTATGGTTTTTAATAAACTTTTTTTTTTTATTTTTACATATGTAAGGACACACTGTGCACAAGTGCACACTACTATTGTAAATGCTAAAGTTTGTACGTGTGTATGGTTATTATTACTTGACACTCAAATGACTGGACGAAATCAGATGAAATTCAGTACACAGACTTGACCGTTTTTATAATGTTGAGAAATGCATTTACGCATACCACCTGTATACGTAAGATGGTTATGTGGCTCACCGGCTAGAAAACCCAGTACTACCCAGTAGGTATTCACTAAAACCCAACAGAACCTCTCCCGTCTTAATGGGGCGTCACAGGATCGCTTACGCACTCAACTACCTCCCTGTAGTCTTCACACCCAGCTAGGATGCTGGACGCTAATGTGCCTCGCCCTCCCCTTACGACAAGATGAACACAAATTGGGGGAGAGGTTTGATTACTATGACTTGGAGCTCATATGCTACTCTTGGATACAATTAAGAAAGGAGTGTAAGTCGCTAGTAAGTACATAATATATGAGAATTTAGTATAATTTAAAATAGGTTACCAATCTTATTCGAAAAGTAATGTTGTTCTCAGAACGGCTGTTTTCATCTTAAATACCATTGCTTACAGTTTCACTAAGCATGTAAAGTGTTGGTTATTACGTAAAACGTCTATTTAAGTCTCATTGCAGTGAAGTGCGGTTATTTTGCATGCAATCTACACGTAACATCCGCTCAGATTTTATGTAGATATTTACCTCGCTTTTATTATTTGACTGTGACATGGAATTTATCTCAGAGGTTTCTCTGTACATTTCCAGATGGGTACTTGTGTTTTGTATCTTCGAATATAGGTCGTATTCATATGCAATATAAGCTGCAAAATTATTTAGTACTACAAAAATATCTTTTACTTACTAATTATTAATCATTGATAATAAAGTTAGTTTTATTAGAAATAAAATCAAATACACACTAAAAGACAATAAACCCTTTATAAAATACAAATTTATATGATTACTTATAATTCATCCCCATTTTCATCCCTTTAAGGGATGATTTCTGAGATAAAACTATCGTATATCCTTTCCAGTGTCTCAAACTTTTTACTTTTCATCTAAATCGGTTATGTAGTTCCAGAGATTACTTCCTACAAACCAACTCACAAACTTACGAACTTAACCTCTTAAAATATTAGTATGATTGTTAACTAAATTGATAATAATAGTAAAACGTCATTCGTTAGTTAAGTTGGTAATAGCTTGGTCTAAATACGTTTAAAATGAACAAAAGACTCAACAAAGAAATACATTTCAATCCTATTCTGGTAGGGCTAAAAAACTAGCGTAACAAGGCGTATAGCAGAAAAGAGACTGAAACCGCAAGGTCTTATATTTAAAATTAAACACAAGGCAGACGTGTATAAACTAGGTACAATGCTATCAACCGTTTACTATATTGTATTCGCGGGGAGATAAGTGACAAATAACACTGTCTTGATATTTTGTCATCATTTCACTAAATCGTTAGATAGGTATATTGTGAAATTCCATCGATTCATTGTCAATGTCGCTTTTTTAAATGAATTTTTATTTATTTTTGTAATTAAACTAATGTATCGTATTTAACACAGATTAAATTTTAACTAGATTTATAAGGCATACTGATTTTTTCTCTTAAACACATCTAAAAATTAAAAAACAACAAATAAAATTAAGGAATAAGATAAAATATTTATATGCAAAAATTTTTTTAATTAAGTTAGCTTACAATAGAAATAGCAAATTTCATATCCACACGACTGAGGCTGAGTTAGACGCGCAGAAACCAGTCATCTTTCGCACTGCGTTTAACCAATTGTCGTATTATGCAGTACAATACTATATACTAATGATATTGCCTAAAATCAAAGATCCCATTGCGGCAAACGTTTTTACAGTTGCCATGCAACATGATATTTCTGTAAGGAAAACGTTTGCAAAACGGGCGAGCGCGGCGAAGGTGAAGGTATTGCTTCGCGCCAGTCGCTTGCCCGAGAGAGAGCTAAGCACACGACGCTTGCGCGGGTGCGTTTACACTTCATTTTGGCCATTGACGCGCGCGCAACTTTAAAACAAAACTTTTCATATTATTCGACAAATTCTATAATCTATTTTCATAATATATCAGTGACATATTTAGTGCGGCCGAACTGTGTGAGTGTAGTGTACGACTTTCTAGTGAGTGCATACAATATTTTCCCATTATTTGACATATATGACGTGTAACGGTGTACAGATCTGATCCATCGACTCGCTAAATCTGTGTGTCAGTGTATCTCGGAACAGTGTGCCGGAATTTTAACGGACTTGCCTAAGCGGAGGTAAGAACGGATGTTTACAGTTATGCTTTATTATACAACTTGAGAGAAAGCACTCTCTTATAATAAACATAAGGCGCATTTGATTTCATTATCTTTCATAATAACTATTGCGATAACGTTATCTGCTGTTATTGCAAAAGTAAATTAGTTGAATTCGACGGTAAGGTTTATTGTGAAAGGCCTGGCGGTGAAATGCCTGCGCTGTGATGAAAGTTTCAATTAAAAGTCGATAATCGTTAACTTAAAGGAAAACTTAGTATAAATTAGTTGTATTTTAAACTGCTCTTGTAAGGACGCGCTCATATAAGGCTATGAATATTCATGGATTCCATTTGGAAATTTGTGAAGTCCAATGAAAATGTTGGGGAAAAACGGTTTAGGAACGGGTTTGCGGCCAGAATAAACAATGCAACGGGTGAAAAGGTCCCTGACTCATCTCGCGTACCTCGCGCGTGTTCTAAGGCTTTTGTTTGGAATATATTTACCTTTTAAATAAGTTGCGTCTCATTTTGTAAGCAGATGGAGGAGCGTTAGTATTTCATTGAATCGAAAACTTGGTTATTTTTGTTGTAACCGTCTCTCGGTTTGAGATATTTTTTTAGTTTAATGAGGGTATTTGTGAAATATAGTTTTAACTCACTAATATGTTGTATTGAAATATATCATTAGGTATTTTATTACAGTATACTTTCATATAAAATAATATTTTAGGTTTATATATTTCGAGTAGATACTTGACAAAATCTTTTTCTAAAAATCTCATTGTTTCAAAATTTAAAGAGAAACAAATAGATAGAGCTTTAATCTCTACACGACCGCGGACACCCCGGAGTGTCAGTTAACAATAGATTTCTTAGAATTTTAATTAATTTCTTAGAAATTTACCTGGATTAAGTATTATGGCAAATATATATACATATAAACAATAATTTGTTAAATAACCTCAAGGAAAATCCGTAAACTTTTTATAAAACTTCACGACTCGTTCGACTGTTGAGTTAAATATTATTTCTTGCATTAGAATTACGTGAATTATTATAAATAATTACACGATAATATAACTTTGTTTTTACAGGTTATTATTATTATAAAATAGATAATAACAACATAAAGTTATGAGGAAACTTAAATAAAAATATATTTATTTTTGAACATTTTGCATCATTAGGTTTTCCCTACCATATTGTTTTACTGTTTACATAAAGTTCATTAAATTATCAACTAAAATTATTCGTTCATGAGTTTCACGAATGTTGACATACTCGATAAACCTGCAAAAGTCTTGTTTTGACATTTAAATCTTGTTTTCTATGATGATTATTTGGCATCGAGCACCTATTTCGTTAATAAAAACTTTAACAGTAAGTACTATTTAGTACTACCATTAATATTATGTATTACTGGCATGTATATGATTACGAGAAGAGACAAAGTTAAGTACAGACAGATCTTTTGGCCGATTTCACCAACGTCACCTAAGTTTAAGGGATCTCCTAAGCATGGTTAGGGGGCTGTTAGGGGACAGTTTCTGTTTCGCCGACAGTTAGGGGTCACCTAAATGTTAAAATGCCACCTAAATATAGGTACTAGAAATACGGGCTCTGAAGATGGTAAAACGGAATTTTAATTTTTGGGGCTAGATTAAGGGAATTTTTAAGCTAGGGATCCCATACGTAGGTGGTAGCTTATGGGATGTTGGTGAAATCGGGCATTAGTATCTTATAATTTTAAGTGGCTGAAGTAATACAAAAAGTAAGTATGTAAAAAAGTACGCATAAGTTACTGTTAAGTAACGTTCATACTTGAACTTTGAACTATGTATACAACTTGCGTTCTGAGGACGATAAAATATATTACGACTACTTTATGAAAAGCGCGCAATCGGTGACGACATCAAACTTACTTAATATTATTAAATGAATTTCCTGATTCAATAGGTTACAATTTTCTTTTGCAATATATATATATATTTTTAAAAGATAAATTAAATTGCATAAAGAGTACCGATAACGATGAGAGACCTCTTGCGCGTGTATACATTCATACACGCACTCTTTAATTTTTTTTATATATTTTTTTTGGAGTAGAATGTTAATATATTTTTAACCGACTTAAAAAAGGAGGAGGTTCTCAATTCGGTTTTTTTTATCTTAGTTACCTCAGAACTTCGTCATTTATTAACTGATTTGGAGAATTTTTGTTTCGTTTGAAATTTTATATGTACATACAGTTTGGTCTTCATCACACTCACTTAAACTGTTTAACCGTATATTTCATTAAAATACTTTCTTCTTACTTTACTACTACTGTGTCTACGCTAAAAATGGAAAAATAAAAACTTAAGAAAATCAATATGTATAGATAATTTTAATATTTCTTTTGAGTGCATAATTATATATAAATACACGTAACTAACGTACACGTAATTTGTAAGTATATAAATATTTAATACGCATTCTTTGACTGAATAATAAGAAATAAACAAAAATTTGCAAGAAACATCATAAATATTAAGATGGACAGGCATATGAATTTTCTATATATACATACAGTCATTGAAATTTTAAACACAGCTAATATATGACTTCTACTCTTTATTACGTTATATATGAAGAAAACGTGAAGTTTTGATTTAAATAATGACTGAGAATACAAGAATTTCCAATGTACAAGTAAAATAATAAAACATTGTATTTTATGATCTGGCCATTTCTGCGACAGTCATAGGTTCGATTTGCACGCTTGTTTGCATTTACCATACAAATATCATTTTCTGGATTTTGAAGAATATTAATTACCTAACTAACCTAACCTATACATTATATATTTTATAGAATTGAGGAACGAAAGATGATAATTGATAAAATGTCACAATTGCCCTTCTTTGGAAAGACAACCATTAATAAATTTAATTTATACTTGTACTAGCAACTCACCCTCGTTTCACTCGCATCCGTCCCTAGGTACGTTTAGACGCTTAGTATGGAATGGATATTTTTTTTTCAATTTTTTTTTCTTGAATTTTTCCGATGATTTTTATAGTTATTCTGCTATTCGGAGCGGAGAGTAATCCAACAAATCAAAGATTATAAAAATCGGTCCAGCCATTCTTGAGTTATAAACGGTGTAACTAACCGACTTTGTTTTATATAGGTAAACAGACTTTGTTAGTTTTAGTTAGTTACTTTATTTATTTAGTGAATAGAGAAATCTAACGACCGTGAAAGTGGGCTTTATAGACAAATTTTATTTAAAAAAAATCATTAGATTCATTGGAGATAAAAATATTTCTTACTACTAAAATGAATATTGAACACCAAGTAAGCGTTTCAAAAGATTTCTCAATCAGTAAAGGCAATTTCTACGTAACATTATAATCAAATCAGAAAACTTGTTCAAGAGTATTCTCTATATATAACGTCGAGTCACGTTAGATTCCTATTCGAAATCTCGCATGTCCCCATACATTATCTCTGCTTATCGTGTTTAAGACGCTGTTATAATAAAGGGAGCATGACAAACAAACAGACGTTATAAAAACTCCTGATAAGCTGTTAAAGTCTGTTTTATATTATTACACCTTGTTTTTCCTTAGCTCATATATGTAAATAAAATTAAGTTATGTAGGAATATTTGATACATCTGGTTTTAAGCAAGTCTATTCCGGTTAAGGTTTTGATTAGAACCGGTTTCTTTTAATGTATTAAAACATTGTTTAATGTTATTTTGTAAAATATTAATGGCCGTCCTTATTTTGTTAATATCAGAACTCCATCCCACGTATCTATCAGTAACTGCAGTATACTAATATCCCACGGGATACCTTGATGTACAGAAACCAAATCCCTCTTTTTGTCCATAAATTGTTTCTATGAAAATCATTATCATTATCACTTTCTTTCATACGCTTACTTACAAGTGGAGGTACTTCAAGGTTGCCTGGAAGAGATCTCTTTTAGCGATAAGGCCGCCTGCTGTACCTCTTGTGTATTTTTTTGTGTTTGTTTTGTTCTGAAATGGTGTACAATAAAGAATATCTATCTATCATCTGTTGTTACGATTAATGAGAATAAACATAAATATATTTTCGTATGCATTATAAGGCTAGTGATACTGACTGTACCTACACTCTCGCCGAGGTAGTCGGAGACATGTCGAGTGCGAGTCTCTTTGTAAGCACTCACTTGTTTTCGGTTCTATGTACATTTTTGCGCCCGAATTAAAAGGCTGTTCTCGCGTTCTGAGTTAACGTAACTGAATAAACGAGAGTGTACAGGGTCGTATTCTTGTGTAAGCTTTTCATGCAAGAGTTCTCGACGAGATATGCTAGGAGAACTCGGTCGAGAGTGTATACCCGCCTTAAAAATGCTATGCAAGGCAGAAAAATAGCTGTTTATAAATAGTTGTATTTAGTTACTTTGGTAAATACTATGTTCTATTAATAGCTTATTTTATGAGGTTAATAAAAATTAATAGCAATAATTTCAAGAAAATTTATTTTTTTATACATTTATATTACGCGTTAGTGTGTGTGTGTGTGTACCTTCGACTCTGCTCGCTTTTGCTTACGCACATAATACGAGTACACCTTGTTCACTTTACAGTATATGCAAAGAAATTTTAACTCTTTATTTTAAAGAGCAAGACAAAATTTGAATAAATATACTTTTTAATAATAGCCGAAACATTTATAAGTGCGTTTTTATTGTTATCAAGCTTAAAAAAATATCGTGATATTTTCGTCCCG